GTCCTTCGTTCGTGTTCAGCACGGCGTTGATTTTTGCGTTCGTATCGAGAAGTCCGAGATCTGCGTGAGATCTCGGCTAAGTTGAAACTAGCTTTACACGCGGATAAGTGATCACGGTAGACGCTCACCCGACAAGATCTCCAACAACCTTATCAACATCTTGCCGTCTCGCAGATCGACGTATAGATCGCCGATTCGGCACGAACATCGGACTAAGTGGGAGTTGACCCATTTCTGGAAAGTCTTCTTTTGCACTAATTCACGCTCACCAGCTAGTGCCTTGATACGTGAGCGTTCGAAGAGTCTCGAACTCGAGTTCCCCCCGTCGTATTCGTACTCGTCGACAATCTCTTGTTGTAGCGTGGGGTCCCAACCCCCGCGCACCACCGAGATGTCGGTCGTCATTTTGTCAATCAGACCAACAGCTCACTTCTGCCGAACCCTTAAAAAGGGTGCACCCTCGCGTAAGGACACCCCGCGGACACTGTCCCGCCTCGCAACTCGCATAAAAGTCCCGGCCCGGTAACACCAAAATACCACCAAATAACGCGATCCAACACCGATCCGCCCTTCCACACACTCGACCGGCGCGCAACCGACTCGGATAAGTGATCATGTAGCTCATATTGCCAGCGAACAGCACGATATTGCCCGAGGGCGCGTGATACGCGCCCGTCAGACGCGTGAAATTTTTAGGAAAAAATTTCATGTAGTCCGTCAATAGCAAGGGTTTCTTGTAAGTTTTCCCGTCTAAATCGATCGACCACATGTATCGTTTGTGCGAGATGTACAATCGACCGTTCATTATCAGTACGGTATCCATGTTTCGCAAGGTGCACAGATCCGTCTCGACGTCTTTTGTAGTCGTCGGTGTCGTCGTCGTCGTCGTTGCTAGTTTTGGAAATTTAGCGTTTCCTTTAGCGCCGTACAGGTGTTGAATGGAAAGAACGTCTTCTAGAGTGAATTGAACGGGGAATTGATTAACAGGCACGTACGCGAACATCACCGAATCTTGGCGGGGGCTGTGCGCCAAGCCTAAAGCATGACCGATCTCGTGCGTCAGCGTCTGAAGTAAATTGTACGTTCCCGGGGGATTCTTATTCAGCTGTAAATGCCACGTCTCCGACTTGTCAACGTGCACCTCCGAGACGTAATTGGGTTCTTCGGTGGGAAAGAACGCGTGAGCGACATCTTTGTGGGGGCCGTCGAACGGAGCTGCACACAGTTCGTTTCCTTGGGAGCGTAACATCGTGTGATGCCCCTCGCGAAATGATATCAGAATATCGGAACTCAGCGAATCGCGCTCAAACGTCAATGACGAATTTGCTGCCCACAGATCGAACGCGGCTCGAGCCGTTTTCAAGATCCGCTCGTTGGCCAGATAAAAGTTCCATTTGAGATGTTTCCTCGGCCATTTGTTCGAAAGCGGAGCGAACGTGCGCTCCGAAATGTCCTCGACGCCGCATCGCGGTTTACGCATTCGATTCAGCGTCTCTTCGTTTAATTCACCGTCGCCAGGTAGTCGATAGAATTCTTGAAACAGTGAGATGGCTCGATGTAACTCCTGCGTAGTGTTGTAGGACGATAAAAATCGCTGTGCACCGTTGTTGTCGTTTTCCAGATATCCATATTTTTGCAGATAACTGATCACAGTCTCATTTTCATTTGATTTACAATTTACCCCCACGACGATAATAATCGCGCACGTAATTACGCGCACGAACGACATTCTCAAGAGAGAACGGTGCGTTTCCCTCCCCGACCTCTCGAGGAGCGATAAGCGTCACCGCCCGATCGAAGCGCGATTGACCGACGTATCGAGCAATGTGTTTTTTTTTTCAGCGATCGCGGCGCGGGTGGGAGGTCTCGGTAAGTCTGTAAAAATGTAAGCGGAACTAGATATTGCGACACAGGTCAGCGGTGTTAAGTCGTTAAATGACGTGCCGACGATAGGGCGGTTATATAAACGTCGACGATGGATCGGGAAGAGGACGTTGAGGTCTCTCTCGATCTCGAAATTTCGTCCGACCGACTAGTTACGGTGACTCATTATCGTCGAACAATCTTGAGTTATATTGCAGCGAGTTGTCCCTGGTAACCATCTCCGATAGAAAACGATAAAAAAATTTCTTATCGTTTTTAATACGGTTAGTGAATCGTTTATTTACGGTACTCTATCAGAAACTCACGTTACAAAATACTTGGGATTCTATCGTAAATGTCTTATCAGCTATACATCAGTTTCCATCGTTTTTAATATGGTTAGTAAATCGTTTATTTACGGTATTCTATCAGAAACTCACGTTACAAAATACTTGGAATCCTATCGTAAATATCTTATCAGCTATATATCAGTTTCTATCGTTTTTAATATAATTAGTGAATCGTTTATTTACGGTATTCTATCAGAAACTCACGTTGCAAGATACTTGGGAGGTGCTTTTCAGGTGCTCCAAAATTAGTACAAAATGCGGATAAATATTATAGCTTGTTAAAGTGTCATAGTAACTATTATAAGAATTTCATGAATGATAAAGAAGTACATGTATATGAAAGGTGCATATTTAGCGGAATTGTGCTCCACACTGCAGCGTACAGTAAAACTATTAAAACCAACGATTCTGTAGTACAATTAGACGATGATACAATTATCGAAATATTAAGTTTTATTATTGTAAATAAATGTTGCTTTGTCGTTTGTAAAGTTCTGACAACCATGCCTGCGGTCTATAATCAATTAAGAATAAATCATATGTTACAAGTTACTAGCGAAGCACAAGATGAAAAAATAATTCCGATTCAGCTGATAAAACGTAAACTTGTGGTCGTCGAAATGAAATGTGACAAATTTCTTTGTACAATGCCGAACCAATTTGAAACATTATAACTATATATTAATATATCACTTTAATTATCAGTTAAAAAAACAAAATGTATCTGTTCATAATTCTTCATATTTGTACACTTATATAAAATATATTTCTAATAAATTAAGATTAATTACAGACTGGCGTTTAATTTTGTTTGCACAAGCTCGCGCACGAGCCTGATCTCGAGAATTTGTTGAGGAAGGAA